TGTATTCCCTGCTTCTACAGTATCATTAAAAGAAGGAGGAATCGAAGTATGCAAAATAAGAACTATAAAAAAAAGGGGGGGAAAGGATTACATTGAAATTATTGTTGAAACAGAATGACTGTGGTGTGGTTTTCTTTCAGAGAAATATTAGTGTATCATGAGACTACATCACTATCACTCTTTTTTTTTAAATATTATCTGAACAGAAAAAGCAGGAATTTTCTGGCAAATTTTGGGGGCCATTCATTAGAGTCCTTAAATAAAGAATATTTAAACCCATACTGCCAACTCAGCAGTAATCAGCATTGATCACACCGTTGTTTAAAAAGCAAAGCATTCAAACCAGGTGAATTTCAGTATCCTGCTGTGTATCTGGTATCTTTACTCTCTCTCTTTTAAAAATCTTGTTTCTTGCAACAACTAAAAATGTGGCTGGTGTCCAGATGCCCATTAAAAACTGTGCATTTAAAACTATTCCTGACTTAAAGTAGACACAACACTATACTCTACAGAATCAAGTTCTGTTAATCTAAAATTTACAGAAATGTTAAAATTCTCAGAGGAAAGGTTTAAGAAACAAAGGGATTGTGTACTTCTGCAATGATTTAAGAGCTACAGATGTACTAAGGCAATTTCTGGCCTTATATTTATAGCTTTTTGCATGTAATAGTTATAATATCTGACTATGCAAAATATTACAACATTCTCAGAAGTAACAAGGTGCTTGTTTTGACCTTTTATCATTTCACAGTGTCTGTTATATAGCAATACCATGAATGGCACAATTGCGTGTACTCTTGAAAAGAATAGCGTACTTAGATTTTAAAAGTTGGATTCATGTGCATCTCACTTTCTTCTCACAAGTCAAACTTGAAAGATCTTATTTAACATTTAAATAGGAACCCAATTCCAGGATTTAATCCAGTAGTAGGAAGCTTACTTTTCACAGATAACATGTTTGAGTAAAAATGAAAGTGGATGCATTGACATAGGAGCAGATCATAAGCCATTTCAGCTGCTTTTGAACTGAACAGCAACACTGAGGCTCACTTTCCTTAGCTGCCTTCCATGAGTGACAGGTAATCTATTGGGATCTTCCATATAAGCTTTAGACCCATATAATTTTAATCAGGGTGTACAAAGAACTCTGCGTTAATCTACCCTTCCCCAATGGAATAATTTTGTTTTGTCTTGGCATAGTTGGAGACAAGACCACTCTTGACATCTTTTTTCTGTGAGGCTCTGTTGAAATCTGGGCTAATTTGTCAGTTACAACAGGCATTTATGGTTCAAGCTGGAAAATGAGAGTTAATCTCACCAAGTGCAGCATTTCACTACCATTCTGCTTTTGCAGTTTTGTGGGCAGAGGGCAGCTATCCTTTCTAGATAGAAGTGGCTTAAAAACACCCTCCTCCAGCCAATAAAATTCAGCATAGGTGCTGTTTCAACACCACACCATAGCAGTGAACAGTTACAAGGGCATCATGTCAATACAGCTTCCTCATCTGGAAAGCTGTCCTGAAGGATATAATCCCAAATCAAGTCTCAAATAGCAATGCCTTGAAAAAGTCCATTAACTAATTTATGTCTTGTTCAGGATATGAACTACCAATAGTACTTTCAAAATACGATGAAAAAAGAGAAGAATAGGAAAAGGAAAATACAAACTTCAACAACAAAGGTAATTTCATGAACTATTTAAACCATAATTCAGAAGAAAAAAAAATCAGCATTGTATTGGTTTTAAATGTTTTTCTGCTAAGGGAGCAAAACATAAGTTTACTTGATTAGACATATGCAGCATGAGACATACTTGGAGTTTTACTAAAGGTAGAATATACTTGTTCGTAGGCATACAGAGGACAGATTTGTAAATGTTGGAATAGAATTTACTCTCTCTCAAAGGCTTCTCTTTAAGTCTTCCTCTCTTAGAGGAAAGATGGCAGTCCTCCTTGTTATGCTTGGAAATGGGAGTGTAAACCAAACTCCAATAAAAGGCTACATCATCACTGGCTAGCTTCTCAATAATGCCAATAAAAAGATGGAATAAATCCCACTTGGATTCAAAGCTGCATCACTTACCCTCACACAATTTTGTAAACTGGCCTTGTATTCTGGCTGTCAAATCACAGGTAAAGCAAATAAGATCCCTCCCACTTGTTCTAAAGCCTGTTAAGTGAAGTTAACAGACACAGATTTAATGGAAATGTGTATGAGGGAGAAGGTCTGCATGCCTGCTCCCTTGTAATACCCTAGGAGCCTGGATGTACATCAGGAAGTGTTACAAGGGAGGGGAAAGAATTTGTTCCCGTAATCTGTGTGCACCCGTCCAATAGTTCTGCATCTGCCTTTTTAACTCGTAGAGCTGATTATCGTAAATAGTGAGCACTATTTCTCTAAGTGCCAGCAAGCAATCAGATCCAACTACAAACCTAAATCCAAGTGACCTCCAATTCCTGCTCTATGACATGATGAAAAGTTCACATCTTTTTCTCTTGCTTTGATAGAACTGCAAGTGAGTTTGGGACAAATTTTTCCAAGCAGGGCTGGAATCCTATCTCTGGCCTTGCATTCTGAAGGACAGAGACTCACCTCGCAGTGTTGTTTTGCTCAACAAATGGCTCTTCTCCAACCAAAAAGGTCAAATGAATATCTCTCAACTCACACACTGGTCATATAAAAAAGACAGAACAATGATCATTCTAGCAGAGAACTTTCCATAGTTTTCAAGATGAAGGATCCACAAGTTAAAACATAGATGCAGCTTTGAGCCCAGCATCTGTAGAGTTACAATGACTCTTTCTGTCCTGAGCCTTATGACAGTCAATGCTTAATTTAAAGGCCTAATTCTGGAAGAGGCAAGGCAAAAGAGGAAAGAGAACAACTCTGCTTTCATTTCTGGGTTTTTTTGTGTGCTTATATTTAGCCTTAATACTAAAGGCAAAGCGCTTGAAAAATTGACCTGAGTATTATATAGTTACTTAGAACATGTCAAAAGAACATCCATGATTACTTTTAATTTTTGAATGATGCCAACTCTCAGTAAAAACAGAGGACTGAAGGGCAGTCATCACCTAGAAGACTCATTTTCTATTTGAAAATGAGTGTCATGAACAGAATAAAGTTATCAAACGCTGGCAGCTCTGCTGCAGGCAAAACCTTACAGCATGTAGGAGAGGCATTTTCATTTGTTCTGACCACAATATTGCTTAATGTACCGTTTATGCAAGTCAGCTTGCTCACATAGGTTCTTCGCTGTTTAACATAAACATTAACATACATAAAATCACAACGGCACAAAACCACTAAATTGAATTTTACTTTTATGAAAATTGAAACATTCAAAATCATACTAATTATTAAAATTAGCTTTATTGTGAAATGGAAAGTACACTTTAGGAAAATAGGTGATTTTTATACCTGAGAGAATTCTTATGAATCAACATTTTTGGGAGACGACTGGACTTAGAAAGTTGTTCATTAAGGGTAATACCAATTTTAGTTAGAATTTACTTCGTTCCCCCATCTGCTCACCACCTCCTCCCCCTGCTCCGTCTCGTATTGCTGTGAGGTAATATGCCCTTGAGAACTTCTCCTGTTTCAAAGTTACAGGAATTTTAATAAAGTTGCAGTCACTGGGCCAAAATATCTAAATGTCAGTCTTCAATCTCACTGACCCCCAACAATTTGCAATATATATATTCTTCTCATAGCATGCTACACAGTAAAAGGCTTACTTAATTTCGGTAAATTCTGCAAGACAAAGTAAATATTTCCTCTCTACAAATTTTCCACACCAATGCAGTAGTAATATGAAAGCTGCAAATCAAAGCTGTAGGAAAAATTATGTAGCCATTTGTCAATTGTTTTTACTGTACAAATCTAAGGAGTAGTGGAGCTAAAGAATTAAATTACATTTGAGAATTTATAAATTATATCTTCTACTGGCACAATTATGTCATTGCTACCAAATATTTAAAGAAATCACTACTTTAATAAAAATAATATTTGTGGTTGTCCTTGTCAAGATTGAAATGCAACATGTAGGTGAACAAAGTTCTGGTTTGGATTTACTGATTTGAAGTTACAGGAGAATTCTAGTTGACTGAAATAGAATAATTTTTTTTTTTAATGTGAATACAGTTTTGAGTATTTTCCCAATTTGGTTGACTCTGAAATCAGCATGTAAAAACTTCAAACATGTACAATGCTCACTTCATAAACTACTATCTTTCTTGTCTTATACTAAAATTTAGTGGATTATTAGAAATATTTATATCTTTAATTTTATAAGAAGGCAGAGAAAATATCACAAGCATCTACCTAAGCAGGCTGCTATGTTGGAACATCTCATTTTGTAAACATTTGGGGGTTTTGGTCTACTGTATGCTAGGTGCCACTTACACAAATTCTGATGATTCTGGATCAAATCTTTGTAGTACAGACGATCACAAATCTATTGGAACTACTGCAACTTTCGTTTGTGGAGACTATCTGCTGGGCTGAGACAGATTTAAATCTGGTCTATGCCAGTGCAATCATGAATGCTACGATTTCTTTACTAAGAAGCTTTATCCTACCAATAATTTTTTTAAAAGGTATATGAGAAAAATGTGGTTGGAAATAATACATTTGACATTTTAAAAAAAAAACATTTCAACTCCCTCCACACCCCCTCCCCAGAAAAGGCATATCATAAAAGATACATTGATCTGAGCACTCTACTTGTGTGCCTCTTGACATTTAACACCTATAATAATTAAAACTGTTTCCAACACTTTGTAATGCCTACATTTTTAGAAAGTAAAACTCTGCTTCAGATTCTAGAAAATCTTTGTAACTTCTTTGCCTCAACATCACCATAAGAAAGGAAAACAAGCAACATACTGAATGTGACATAAAAGCGGTTTGGTACAGATTGTGAAAGATGCAGTGTAAGAAGGTAAATTTAATGTTGTCTTAGCATGTGAGAATTAAGTCCAGTGCAGTCAATATTGTACTTATTTTGTGACTAGCCAGTACATTAGTGATATGCTAATATAGATGACACACAGCATTATCCAGTCTATTCTTGTAATAGGTGGCCTGTTACCTTTCACGTGGAGAATGGCACTTGATGAGATAGTGCCGTTTAAATTTTTAGCCCGAACAACATAGAGGCCAGCATCTTTATCGCACACCTTCTGAATGAACAAAGTATGCTTTGTCTCCTTTTGTAAAAGCTTTAAGTGCTCATCTGCAGTCAGTTTCTGGCCCTTCTTGTACCTGAAGTAGAAAGTCAGTTTTCAAGTCAGATTTATATAACTGTATGCCAAGCAGAACTTTGCAAATTCAGACAACCTCTATAACACTGCATTGAAAGCCAGAGATAGAGCTAACTGCTGTGCTCTCATTCCTCAGTTTAAAAGTTATATGTAAATATAGATGAATATTTAAATAATTCAAATTTCTGAATACTACATTCTTAATACTAGAAAATGTGGTTCTGAAAGTGGTTTTCAATGGACAAATCACAGTTGTCTCACTGCAGTATTGGAGAGAATAGCATGAAAGCCTGGGCTCTCAGTTTTGTGCTGAAACATTTTTGCTAGAAAGGTGTTGAGTCAATCCACATTCAACTCACGAATAGGCTCTTAAGATGCATAAGCAACATATAAACTTTCTGAACTTGTGTATTCAATCAACAGTCAAAGACCTGTTCCTCCACCCCAGCCCACTTAATATTTACCTAGTTCACATAATCAAATAGGATAGAACAATGCATCATGAGTTACTTCAGAGAACTGGTGTCATATTCTAACACTTGAGGATCTGTCACCATGTATTGGTATTGACTCCTGATTTACATACTGGAAGTGAGAGAAAATTCTGGCTCTTCTTGCCTTGTGATGTTTCAGCATGAGCTACATTTAACTTAACACAAACACAGAAATGCTTTTCCACATATATATCCAATAAAATGTCTACATCAGTACAAAATACACAGTATTGGTGAATTTTTAATTACAAAACCCCCTTCTTTTCCTGTGTTCATAAATTTCTAATTTGTTTTCAGTTGACTGTTATTTTTTAAAGACCGTATATCAACAGTGTATATATTTTTGAGATAAATTAATGCTTTCTTATGATAAAATAAAACCAAAGGTACCTCTTGTTTCACCAACAATACTTCTCAAATTGTAGAATACCAGAATTCAAAACAAAGTAACTTTATTGATACCAACACAGTATAGCATCAAGTTTGCAGTCCAGTTTTTTTCTCAGTGCTATAGAGGAGAATTCAGATTACGTGTGTAATAATAGTCTTAATAGCAAAATGTTTCCAGTAAGAGGTATATCTAATTTTAATACATTAAAAGAAAAGTCTCCATTGTGAAAGTCTAATGCAATAAGTGGAGAAATGGCAAATGAGGTAAAATTTTAGGAAAACATGCCAACACATAGAGGGCTACTACCAAAATCTTGAAATCCTGCTCCTCTTTCATTCCCTATTCCCTTTGACAGGGAATTTCTAAAAAGTCATCTTAAAAGATATTTATATTATATCATCTGTATTTCCTACAAATGCAGTATAAAACAATATAATTAGACATACAGCAATTCAGAAAGAGATAGTGAGTGCACACAAATAAATAAAACTGGTTCTTTTAGTGTAGACATTTAGGGGTTTTTTTAACCTGTAACCTCTCTCCAGTTTTTGACAACTGACTTTCATATATATATAAATGTGTGTTGCTATGTATATGTAATGGCTATATAAATATTTTAGTGCACACACACAAGTATGTATCTGTCTGTCCATATATAGTGCCAAGATCCTGAGAAAATGCAGGTGAATTTACTTACGGTAAATCTGGAGTGCCCATTTGTTTTAAGAAATTATCGAACAAGTGGAATGTCATATTCCAGAATATAAAAACTACATGATATATTTGCTTAAAAACCATTGGATATGCTTACAGTAGTTTGATGCTGTTGTTATTCATTAAATTAAATACAGACAGATTATTTCAAGTAGGTTAATTGTCAAAAGAAATTTTGAAGGTGGGAATCATGCAGAAGTGTGGAGTAGAAAGGAAATAAGCCATTTATTCTAGTCTATAGACTAACTAATTTGGTTATAAGTGGTTCAAGGTGTCTTGCCAATAGATATGTTTACTACTTCTCATTATAAGCTACCCACCATGTCAGTGTAGGTTCTGGGAATCCCGTTACTTCTACTTCCAAAGTTACTGGAGAACCTTCCAAGACGGTTTTGTTAGACAGAAGCTGGGAGAAGTTAGGCGCCTGTCCAGTTAGGCTGGCCATGCTGTTCTTTTCTGATGAACTTTTAATCTCTTCTCGGGTGACCGTCTGCCTCTGACAGCTTCTGGTGGCGTCTGATTGAAACACGAAACCTGAGAATGCATCAGGCAAAGCATGCAGCCCGTCCTGGGGTTTAGTACAGTTATTCAAGTCATGCAATTGTTCTTGTGTTTCTGCCATGCTTTTATGAAGTTCAAGGTGTTGCAAATGTGTTTTGCACACTTCACTCATCATGCTACATACTGGTTTGGCATTTATAGTGCAGGAAGCAGTGCTAGCTTCAGATACTCCTTGGAAGCTACAAGTCGAAGGAGGTACTCTGACTTTTGGACCAGAATCTGTTGAAGAGATACAAAACTTCTCAAACTGATCTGGTGGGCTTTCTATCCTATTATTTGTAGCACCAGCATAAGCAGAAATTGTTAAGACATCAGACGCTTCCATCACTTTTTTAATGCTAGTGGTTTTCTGCATTTGCAAGCTATAGGAACTGACATGCAGACTATGAGAACTACAACAGCACTGCTCTTCTAGCTCTGTTTCAGAATGTAAGAGGTTGGATTCTGGTGTCTCAGAAAGCGGTGGCAAAGAGATATCATCAGGTGATATACACTCATATTCATCTCCGGAGGCTATTTCTTCTGCCAGGAATTCAGTCTGTAAACTATCCTCTTTGGCTGAAGATGACAGCTCTGTATCCTGTGAAACAAGATCCTCACCAGCTGGACAGATAATTGGAATATCAGCCAATTTATTCCTCTCCTTAAATTAGGAGGGGGAAGACAAGGGAAAGAAGAAGAAAAAGCAAAACATAGAGAGAATAAGTTATCATTCTATGCATCCCCTTTTCGAGCAGAATCTAGCAACAATATTTGAAATATTTCTTCAAATTAAGCTTAATGTATTCTGAGAAGCAGCAGGAAATACATGGAAAATGATAATTAATCAGAAAATTTTGCAGCAGCTAACTGGAATTTCAAACTGTTTGGACAGATTCTAGCAGATATTATTATAATTATATATAAGCATTTATTATAACAGTAACAATAAAAGAAAAAGTACCCCTTTCTATAAACAAAGGACAACCAATGGATTTCTGTAGGTGTTGTTTATAAGAGCATTTGCAAAGGGAAGGTGGAGGAGGAGGTGGCCTAATTACTTCTAAATGGG